TCTTATACAATAACTAATAATCGCTGTGCACTGATGATAATTGTTAGTTGTAGTGGTCAATAGTTATTATCGCTAATCATTTGCTATTTAAATTCTTTTAACACAAGTTATATAGTATAGACAATTTTACAATAACTACTTTTAAAATATTTAGTAAATTAATTTACCTTTGCTTTGTTCATGAGTTCCTTCCAGAGATTCTCGCGCAGATGTGCATCCCTAATTTCACTAACCGTAATAATGCATATCAGCATGTACTCAATGTTGTCCGAAAATTGGTCGTACGCATTTGTACCTTTTAGATTGTCCAATTTTCTTAGATCATCTTTAAATTGATTACAATCGAATTCCAGGAGTCCATAATTTTTTGTTACCTTTTTCATCTGCGCCAATTGTGGCATCACTATGTTGATTAAATCCCACAATCTCTTGGCTTGTCTCAATTCTTTTTTAACAACTTTGAGTGGACAATGTAATTTGAACAGATCAACCTTTTTGTCTAGCGCTTCTTCTTCTTTCTCCATATAGGTGAGGTTTCTATAAGTTTTGTCTATTTTACGGTATGGATTTTTGCAATTCCAGTTGAATAGTGGTGACGTTCTGAAATTATCTTTGAATATACCGATTTTATAATCCAAAATTTTTACATGTCTCATTATTTCTTTCAGATTCTTTTTCTTTTGTGTTTCTTTTCCTTTGGCTGCAACGCCAATAATAGCTTTCTGAAACAACCATTGGATATTATTATAATTTGACTTAGCAATATTAATAAACGCTTTAGTCTATATTGGCCGTAGACTAATATAACGAGTAAAATAAACGAAAGGGCAATAAGAACGAGAGAAGGGCATAGTAAAGGTAAAACAAGGGAGAGACATAATAACACAAAAGACGAAATTGATAATAAACAAAGATTAAACCATTTTGGGCTGAAATGAAATATAAAAATAAACCTAAAATGTTAAGAAATTTCTGGAGTCATATTGTTCAATAAAAGCGAAACGAAAGATGAAATTAACGAAAAAATTATTATGGCAAAACAGGGCTTTTCATAAAAATAAAACAATCTGAAAATAAAATTATACCAAAACAAACTAAACTAAAAGTTTATAAAGCAATAGTAGGTCCAATAATTATCTTTGCAAGATCTATAGTTTAGAAAAAAAAGAAGTGCAGTAATTTAATTTACAGAACGTAGTACTGGTTCAATAGGTAAACATTTTATTTATACCTCATCCTTCAATGCTTATTTATAGTTCAAATAAAAAGTTTAATACATTTGATCGGCCTAATAAAAGTTTTTGTTTAGATTTAATCATGTTTCCATGGCTTTTACTGTAATAAACCTTTTCGTTTGACAGATAAGTCAGACTTTATTTATTCATAGTTGTATCGTATATATTTTAATTAATTTAGAATTTTGTATTAGTATTATAATTTTACAGTTATATAAGAATGGCGAGTGCATTAGAAAATATTGCAAGCACAAGTACACGTAAAAAAATATCATATTTAATGTAATTAATAATCTTCTACAAGACTTTGTTTCACTTTCTGTGGATGAAATAGCCACCCAATGTGAGACCTATACTGGAGTATCTAAACGGACAGCATATAATATTGTTAAAGAAGATACAGTTATTGGAGAGATCTCACTTCCGGAAAAGCCCTCAGGAAGAAACAAAACGTTCATTAAAAATTGGGTAAATAATATAATAAGACAAATGGTACATTCGAAATGAAATTCCTAAACTTAAAAAATTACACTAAGAAATAGAAAATACCCCCACTCTTCCAGATATATCATATTTTCATCTACAAAACGTATTAGATGAATTAAATTTTCGTTACAAAAAACGTGACAGAAACAGCTTTTTAACAGAGAAAGACGAAATCATTGCGTGGAGACATGATTATTTAAGGAAAACAGCGGACGCAATGAATTAGCATAAACAGGTATTTTATTTAGATGAAACATGGGTTAATGCTGGACATACAGTAACAAAAATTTGGCAAAACTAAAAAATAAGCCTTTATGGAAAGGGTCACTTGTGGATAAACAAATCCAACAGGACAAAGAAATCTTTTAATAATAACCCACATTGGAAGCACCGATGGTTTATTAATGTTCGAGTCAAAGAAAACAAAAGACTTCCATGAAGAAATGGATGGCCCTATATTTGAAAATTGGTGTCAGAACATAATAAAAAAAATCCAGCAAACTTTGTTATTACTTTGGATAATACTTGCTATTACAGTCGATTAAAAGAGTCACTACCTACAACAAGATGTAGAAAAAGCAGATATTTTAAATGCCTTCATTCTAAAAATATTATCAGTTCTCCTAAATCCTTGAAGACAGAATTACTCGTTATAGCAAGGCAGACGATCCTGAAGCAACACCTACCAGAGAAGTGGAGGAGCTGGTGAGATTCTGCAGGCGATACGGAATGCAGATGATCATTGGCTGTGATGCAAACGCACGCCACAGGATACCAACGAAAGAGGTGATTCTTTACTACAATTTATTATGGCAAATAATTTAGACATAACAAATGTAGGCAATAAACCGACCTTTATAACAGAAAGGAAATACTCGATGAACAATAGCATTAACATACTTGAGTAATTTTGTTACAGACTGGCATGTGTCTGACGAAGAGAGTTTATCAAATCATAGACACATAAACTTCAATATTAAAGGTAATATTGCAAAAGAAAGACGATAAGAACAACAACCTACCTAGAAATGGCTGTGGATGAGTTTAATGACACACTCACTAGCGCTTTCAACGATACCTATCCCTTAATAGCAAGGAACTCTACCAGGAAAGTTCCATGGTGACAAGATGACCTTGCTATACTAAGGAAACAGGTGAGACAAAAATGTAATAAGGCTAAATAACCGGCGAATGGGAACTATATAGAACCATACGCACCTATTATAACATAGCCTTACGAAATGTCAAGAGAGAGTCTTGGAGAAGGCACTGTGAGGAGATAGCAGGCACTCAAGAATGTGCCAGGCTTCAAAAAATTTTCTCAAAAGACACACAACACACAATAAACAACCTTAAGAATGAACTGGGGGGAGTACACAATTACAGGGAAGGAAACAGTAAGGGAACTCTTCAGGGTTCACTTTCCTGGTGCACAAAACATAGCACACACACCGGCTAACCGGATTATAAACGGACTGGAAGCTCATAATAGAGCCAACAGGGAAGATTGGAGGATAGCCAAACTAGTGGTGAACTACGGTAAACTGAAATGGACAATTAGCGCATTCGAACCATATAAATTTCTGGGCATGGACGGGATTTATCCAATAATGTTACAAAGAGGTCTTAATATTTTATACAGCAGACTCTGTAACATACTTAGAAGTAGCCTGGCCTTTGGACACATACCAGAAGCTTGGAGAAATATTAGGGTAACTTTTATACCAAAACCTAAGAAAATAGGACAGGAAACGGCCCTAAGACCAATAAGTCTTTTGTACTTAAGACTTTGAAAAAACTGTTAGATACGCATATTAGAGACGGGATATTGGTTCAAAGGCCAATATACCAAGACCAATAGTGCAGGAAAATCAACTGAAACAGCTCTCCATCAATTAATAAAAGGGGTGAAGAACACACTGGAAAACAAGGAGGTAATGCTGGGAGCATTCTTGGATATCGAGGATGCATTTGAAAATACCTCCGTTGAATCGATCATTAGATCTCTCAAACACAGAGGAATCGAGTACACGTGCGTGTCCTGGATCGACTCTATGTTAAAGGAGAGAACTATACACACAACCCTTATGGGAGAGACAATAGCGGCACGGGTAACAAGAGGATTTCCGCAGGGTGGAGTACTGTGGAACCTTGTAGTGGACGGGCTGCTTGAGGCTCTCAAAGATAAGGGACATAGAACCCTGGGATATGCCGATAATCTAGTGATCATGGCACAGGGAAAATTCAACACTATAGTAAGAGATTGAATACAAGAGGCTCTAAATATAGTAACAAAATGGACAGAAGCAGAAGGACTAAACATTAGCCCAAACAAATCTGACATAATTGCATTCACCCTCAGGTGGAAATTGGAGGAACTAGGGCCTCTAAACCTAAGAGGTGCAAGCATCCAGCTTAAGGGGGAGGTAAAATATCTCGGGGTTATGATTGACTTGAGACTTACCTGGAACCAGCGTCTAGAAAAAACCAGAAGGAGAGCGGAAACTTCGTTAATGATGGCAAGGCGATCCTTTGGAAAAAAATATTTAATCCTGGAAACAATATTGAAGATATATAAGAATCAGTTTTTATAACCGGATAAGCATTTCGGCATAAAATAATAACAAAGAACGTCACCATATCTTCCTCTTTATAAGCAACATTTCTCCATTAGCTCCTGATCATGAACAACTAAGACAAAAGTGATGTTTAAGGAAAAAGTCTTTATAAAAACATTAGGTAGAATATCAACAAATAACTTTTAAAAATCATTTTAAAACTAAGTAAATATGTAATGAAAATGATCGCTGCTTCAGGATAACATCTATACAGGGTGTGCTGTAAATATGCAGACAAACTTTTAGTGGTGGTAAGTAATATCAAAATAAAATTATTTTTTGGATAATAAACATATGTCCAAAAACGTTTCATTTCCGCAAACAGGGAATTTTGTACAAAAACAAAAATAAAAATAATATTTTGTTTTAAGTAAAGCAACTAAAGTTTTTTATTCCTTGATTTTAAAAAAATTAAAATTCAAACTTTCGCACATTCTTGAAGCATATAAAAATAAAAATTAAATTCAAAACAAAAATGAAGTGCGATACGAAAATAAATCAAGAGATGAAAAGCACTTTTCTTACAAATGTGGAGTTGGTACGGTGATTTGCGTTTGAACCAGGGGAAATGTTATCAATGAAGTTGAGGTAAGTACAAACAAAAGACCATTATTGAGAAAATAAGTATAATAATAGTGTTAATGTGTAGATACACATTTGTTTAAATCAATGATAATATCGATTCGGCTTCGGACATAATGGACGCCTCTGATTCTATCTGAGAATTTTTTGGTATGGCAACATTCTCTATAGCATTACTGTAACTGAGAGTACTGCGACTACTATTGAATGGAGAAAATGTGAGCTCCGGTGATACTGTGAGACATGATGTGTGTGAGGACCCAGGTGGTACTGCAGAATATGGCGTACATGACGGCCCAGGTGATACTGTAGAATATGATGTTTGTGCAGGCATTGGCGTATTGAAACTTATATAAGAAAAATTGGCCATAACTGGATATTGCTGTGCCTGTTGATAAGCGGGAGTAAAATTTGGAAAATTAGGTGTATCTTGGTTTGGTTTTCTGTTTGTGTAGCGAGTTAATAATTGCATCACATCTATTCGGAAGTTCAATTTTTCATTGGGAGTGAGTGTATCTAAACTCGTTTGTAATGATCTAAAGAAGGCCAAGTCATCGGTTTCTTTTGGTTGGTTTTGTATCACTGGTGATGGTTGCTTGATCTGGGAGTCCATATAATTTATTAATTTACTTTCTAAAGCAGATTTATTTCTTTTAAACTGAGTACTTCTACTAGGAGTAACTTGGGTTTGGAATTTCCTCTTGACATCTACTAATTGTCTATCTTACGTATCATTACGGTCTTGTGATAGATCGAGATCATCTTGACTCTCTTGTAATGTGTTTGGTATTGAAGTTTCTGTCTGACAAGAATCAGTCACCTTCCTTAAAAACTGTAATTGATTAGCATAGATGTATGTTTTTGCAGGTTTAGCTCCGTTTTCACATTTTTGTGACTTCTGACGTCTATGACGAACAAAAGCGTCTCTCAAATTTTTTCACTTGAGTTGAACTGCTTTACCTAAAAACAAAAACAAAGAACTAATTAATTTTAAAATTAGCTTCAATTGGAATCTAATTAACGGATTTTATATTAATGAACCTGATTTATTAATTCTTTTTACAGATATTTGGCTACAGGATGTACATACACAGATTTGCATTACATCTACTGAGTGGGAATTACAACAGCAAGTCTTATAGTTCCAAGAATTTGCGTTGCCTTATGGCAGATATTACACGGAGAGTGTTTTCCTGCACTAACTGAACAGCATTGGCATGAAATTGCCCAAGAATTTAACGATTGTACTTATTTTCCACACTGTATTGGTGCAATTGATAGCAAGCATTGCAGAATAATCGCGCCGGCACATAGCGGATCACTATATTATAGTTACAAGAACTACTTCTCCATTGTTTTGCTAGTTGTTGCAGACAGCAACTTTTGCTTTAGATATATAGATATTGGCTCCTACGGTAAAGAATCAGATTCTACAACATTTAGAAACTGTTCCTTGTTCACAAAATTAGAAGAAGGCACCTTAAATATTCCAAAACCACTGTAAGTAGCAGGTACAACACAGCCATATGTTATCGTTGTCGATGAGGCTTTTGGACTGACAAATAACTTAATGCTGGAAAAGGAAATCCTGGAAAAGGATTAACAAAAAAAAAAGAAGAATTTTTAACTACCGTTTGTCTAGAGCAAGGGGTAAAGTAGAGTGTTCCTTTGGTATTTTAAGTAACAAGTGGCGTATATTCCACCGAGCCATGAATGTATCTGAGAAAACCGCAGTAGCAATCATAAAAGCATGTTGCGCATTACGCAATTTTGTTCGCGTAAGAAATGGCTTCAAATCTGAGGATACTTTAACAATAACAGGTTTATATGATATTCAAAGGAACCAACAAAAAAAACCGTGGACATAAGTCTGCTTACAAATATAGAGATGCTTTCGCCGACCATTTTAGCAGCCCTGCAGGGGCTGTTTCATGGCAGGACACCAAAATATAATTATATGTATATACTTTTATATTGTACTAATAGATGATACTGCTGATAAATGAATAGATATAGAATGCGTTGTTAAAATACAACTCTAGCGAATAGACTAATAAAATACATGCTTACCAATTTCCTGCTTTTCTTTTTCAGTTTTTTTACTGAATTCGGGAATAATGATTTCGCTAATTTCCTTTCACGCATCTCTTTTCAATTGCCTGTTTTTGTAATCTTCTGATGATGAATCCCACAAACATGTTTTTTCTTTTACTGCGTCAATAAAAAATTCAACGTCCAGATTTTCCATGGTACTTCTTCACACATCAACACAACTCTGCAAACTGACTGTTCAAAATGACAACGACAAACGATAATAAACGCACTGCATAAAAGCACCAATTGAAATCAGTGTACTTTTGAAACGCCTGTCGCGACGCGTTTTCTAATTCCACGCGGCTGATTGACGTCGATGCATAAAAGCGCACATTTAACAACGTGCTTTTAGAAAATGTCGCGTTTTTTGTCACCTTTTTGTCACCCTGCGACAAGCGACAAAAAACGCGTGCATAAAAGAGGCCTTAATACCCTATATCACGGAATAGAAGCGTTTTCAGACGTATGTTTATTATTGGCAAAAAATATTTATTTTGATGTCCCTACTACCCTTATATATTTACGGCATATTTAAGTTATATTTACGATATATTTACGGTATATTTTTATATTTACGGTATATTTTTATATTTACAGTATATTTACGGTATATTTACGGTATATTTACGGTATATTTACGGTATATTTACGGTATATTTACGGTATATTTACGGTATATTTACGGTATATTTACTGTATATTTACGGTATATTTACTGTATATTTACGGTATATTTACGGTATATTTACGGTATATTTACGGTATATTTACGGTATATTTACGGTATATTTACGGTATATTTACGGTATATTTACGGTATATTTACGGTATATTTACGGTATATTTACGGTATATTTACGGTATATTTACGGTATATTTACGGTATATTTACGGTATATTTACGGTATATTTACGGTATATTTACGGTATATTTACGGTATATTTACGGTATATTTACGGTATATTTACGGTATATTTACGGTATATTTACGGTATATTTACGGTATATTTACGGTATATTTACGGTATATTTACGGTATATTTACGGTATATTTACGGTATATTTACGGTATATTTACGGTATATTTACGGTATATTTACGGTATATTTACGGTATATTTACGGTATATTTACGGTATATTTACGGTATATTTACGGTATATTTAAGGTATATTTAAGGTATATTTACGGTATATTTACGGTATATTTACGGTATATTTACGATGTATTTACGATGTATTTACGGTATATTTACGGTATATTTACGGTATATTTACGGTATATTTACGGTATATTTACGGTATATTTACGGTATATTTACGGTATATTTACGGTATATTTACGGTATATTTACGGTATATTTACGGTATATTTACGGTATATTTACGGTATATTTACGGTATATTTACGGTATATTTACGGTATATTTACGGTATATTTACGGTATATTTACGGTATATTTACGGTATATTTACGGTATATTTACGGTATATTTACGTTATATTTACGGTATATTTACGGTATATTTACGGTATATTTACGGTATATTTACGGTATATTTACGGTATATTTACGGTATATTAACGGTATATTTACGGTATATTTACGGTATATTTACGGTATATTTACGGTATATTTACGGTATATTTACGGTATATTTACGGTATATTTACGGTATATTTACGGTATATTTACGGTATATTTACGGTATATTTACGGTATATTTACGGTATATTTACGGTATATTTACGGTATATTTACGGTATATTTACGGTATATTTACGGTAAATTTAAGGTATATTTACGGTATATTTACGGTATATTTACGGTATATTTACGGTATATTTACGGTATATTTACGGTATATTTACGGTATATTTACGGTATATTTACGGCATATTTACGGTATATTTACGGTATATTTACAGTATATTTACGGTATATTTACGTTATATTTACGGTATATTTACGGTATATTTACGGTATATTTACGGTATATTTACGGTATATTAACGGTATATTTACGGTATATTTACGGTATATTTACGGTATATTTACGGTATATTTACGGTATATTTACGGTATATTTACGGTATATTTACGGTATATTTACGGTATATTTACGGTATATTTACGGTATATTTACGGTATATTTACGGTATATTTACGGTATATTTACGGTATATTTACGGTATATTTACGGTATATTTACGGTATATTTACGGTATATTTACGGTATATTTAGGGTATATTTAGGGTATATTTTCGATTATTTTCGATTATTTTCGATTATTTTTGATTATTTTTGATTATTTTTGATTATTTTCGATTATTTTCGATTATTTTTGATTATTTTTGATTATTTTCGATTATTTTCGATTATTTTCGGTTATTTTCGATTATTTTCGATTATTTTCGATTATTTTCGATTATTTTCGATTATTTTCGATTATTTTCGATTATTTTCGATTATTTTCGATTATTTTCGATTATTTTCGATTATTTTCGATTATTTTCGATTATTTTCGATTATTTTCGATTATTTTCGATTATTTTCGATTATTTTCGATTATTTTCGATTATTTTCGATTATTTTCGATTATTTTCGATTATTTTCGATTATTTTCGATTATTTTCGATTATTTTCGATTTTTTCGATTATTTTCGATCATTTTCGATTATATTCGATTATTTCGGATTATTTTCGATTATTTCCAATTATTATTGATAATTTTTAATTTATCGTACAATCGTATAATCGAAATTTGAATTTTATCATTCGAATAATCGCTTATTCAAAAGGTTGATTTTTTAAAATAGGTGCCTAATCGATTATCAACATAAATATTAATAATATTTTTTACAGAAACTTTTATCAGGAACCAAATTATCTGAGAAATCAATGTTCCTTGATTATACAGAGTGGGCCACTCAAAACAGTCCACCCTGTTATTTGACAGTATTCATTGTATTTTATGAAATTAAAAATTAAAAGTAGGTACCTAAGAAGACACATCGTTGAAAAGGTATTTTGATGGAGGATTCATCAATAAGGCTATTCATTGCGTTATTTGTTATTATAGCCTCCTCTAACTTGATAAAAAACTATTATGTATTGTAAAATGTAACACTTTATTTGAAAGCTAATTTAATTAGTAATTCAATGCACCACATAACTTTAATCTAAATATTTTTATATTGCTCTTCAGAAAATTAGTCATTGTTTGCATTATTGTTAATTTTATTTTGCTGCAAATGCAATATGGAGATTTTTAGATTAATATTTTGTGGTGCATTAACTTAGTAATAAAATTAGCTTTACAATACGTAAGTTTTTATCAAGTTAGAGGAGCTCTAACATCAAAAGTAATGCATAGAATAGTCTTATTGCCGAATTCTCCATCAAATTACCTTTTCAATAATGTTTCATGCTTAGGAGTGGCTAAATAATAGATTATTCGATTAATGTATTATTTTAGAATAATCTATTCTTTTGATTAATCGGTATATTTCGATTAA